TTAACAATATGTTAGTAATAATATGGTTTGAATTCGTCTTTAACAAAAATCGAATTAAAACTTCTCAATTATAAATGAAGAGGAATACCCCTATATCGTAATACTAAGTGACAACAACGATCTTAAATTTATGAAAAATAATTTATGCACACATTTTATTTTAGTCGTTGAATTGAAAAAATATAAAAAAAAAATCAAATAAAAAGGCACGCAAAAAATGAAAAAATAAAGTACGCAGAATCACTCCTGTTAAAAGCAAGAACTTTGTTCCCATCCACCAAAATTAATTTTATATGTTGGATCTTGGTAACGGTGGACTTGTGTGAACCAAGAACTAGTACATCACCTCTCAATTTTTACCAGCCAACCAACACTCAAAAGGACACCAGAAGAGTGTGGATCGTGGAGAAAATGATTTGATTTGATTAGGGTTTGCAAAATAGGGACCCGAATGACGCAGACACATGGTCTTTGGACTGGAAAATCTATGGTCCATTCCCTCTCTATGTATTATTTGAATGAATGGCCACACACTAGGCCACATGATATTTCCATCACCTTTGCTTTTCATGCCACTTAAGCTTCTTTCTTTCTTTTTTTCTTTTTTCTTTTATAGAACCATTCAAAACATTAATGGTTAATTTTGATATAAAAATAAAAATAAATTTACAGTGACGGAGTCAAAATTTTAGCTTAGGAGGAGCCTAAATGTCTCAATCCGAAACGCTCTTGCGATCTTACAAAAATACTTTGTCATGTAATGAATAACCGACCAACGTTGTTTGGGTTTGATATGGTGTCATCCTCTTCCTTAAACATAAACCTCATGCTTCTCTAACTTTCTTCCTCTCTCTCCCTCCACTGATCCCAAACCAAAGTCCTCATCAAAGCTCACAACCAACGGGTTGCCTAAACTTCATAAGAGCCACTAGCTTCAAATCAACCCCAATGGAAAAAAATTAAAGTAAAAACATTGGATTGGTCCCTAAGCCTATGAAAAATCTTGAAAACCATAAGCATAACATTTAACTTTTCTGCGTAAAAAAAAATGTTAGGATGGGTCTGTGACCATCTTGGTCCCTTCATAGCTACGCCTCTGTAAATTTATACAACAGTTAAATCTTGCATATAACTCGTAACTCTTTTCTTTTTCTTTTTTTTGTTGTGCTGAAATTGGCATATGAAATGTTATGTTTACATTATGAAGTCTCTTTGTATCTGGTTTTTTTAAACGAGGATAAATCTTCGCCTCCTATTTTACATCTTCGATAAAGTCCGAAGTTGGTGTACATATCTGAGAGCAAATAAGGCAAAATCTCAAGCACACAAATCGGCTATGCAGCCAAGCAAGCATGTCTATGCACTTGAAGCACGTGTGGTCGTGTTTAAACATCTTATTTCATGATAAAAGGTTGTCAATCGTAGCTGGACTAGTGTCGCATTGAAATATTTTCTTCAAACAAAAATTAAATAAGAAATCAAATCAGTGCACATGTGCAAACAAATAGTTAATTGGAAGTTTCAAAGTTCTAAATATAATTAGGATCTACATTAATATTAGGATTAGAACAAAACGTATAAAAAATTAAGTATTTGTGAATCGAATCTTCTGGTCAACAGCAAGTTTTTATTAATGAAGTACTAGAATATGGGCACATACAAAGTGTGTGAGAAATTTTTTTATTTTTGTTTTTGAAATAGAATGAGAGAGGAAGAGAGTGATAGAAAATGTGGGAGTGAGAATTTTTTTATTTTAATTTTAATTAGAGATATGTTATGATTACATGTAGATGGGGCTTTGAAAAAAAAAACAACAAAATTTGGTTGTGTGAAATTACATTTCTACCCTATATTTCTTATTCATGTTCTTTTTTAATTAGAGGGTTAAACTGGTAATTTCATAAGATTTTGGTTGACAATGAGTGTTATTAATTAGTAAAGATTAAAGATGGTGTCAAATTATATGTTTTTCATATTTAAGCAAGTTTTGCTGGTAGAAGTTGGGCTATTATCCAGGCCCAATATTAGAAGAAAATAGCCCAATCCATTTACAAAATCCAGCTTCGTCTTGCAAGTGCAATAAATTCTTAAAGGCAACTAACTGTTTACCCATGCGGTACAGTTGGTGGCTTGACATAACAATCCACTTTTCTGGGGGTTAAAAGACTTACAAAGACATTTCGGTCTTCCTCTGATCACAATCGTATGATTCACGAGCATCAGGATCAAACTCAAGAAGTGTCGTGAAATAAGAACTTGAAATTCGCTCTTAACCACGTAATCACCCCGAGATGATTAGTTTAATTTTCATATTTCAAATAATAAACGTTTCCATCTGCTGCTTAAATTAAGCATGTTAATCTAGCTTGGGTTAATGCAATGAGAATCTTGAAAATAGAGGATATGCTAGTCTACTAGAGGAAGAAGTAGAAACCCAGCAAAATATATAGGCTATCTAGCAGACATTATACCTTCCACTCATGTGACACCAGAGACCCAAGACCTTACCTTAATTATTATATATTTAGACTAAAAAATTCACCATTCACACTATGAGCACCCCTAACAAAAAAAGAAGGATCTGGATTGTCTGGCCTCTCCCATCTCATACCGTTCACATCCCCTCCTATTTCTGTAGTCACGGTTAAGCTATATTAACATTTTATATTGATTTTTTTTATAGAAATAATAAGACAAAAAACAATAGGAATATAAAATGTTGACGTGGCTTAACCGTAATCTCAGAAATAGGAGAGGATGAGATGGGAATGGCAGACAATCTAAGTCCAAAAAGAAAACCTTCATGTCCAATTGGCCGTATACAATTTAAAAAATAGCCCATGGGACCACGGCTGGGAATGGAATAAAATGCAGTAAAGTCGAGCTCAGTTTTTATCGAATACAAACGTATGTGACTTCATAGTCACGTAATGCGATAAATAAATTTTTAGAAAGGTTTAAAAAAAAATTATGCGACGTAGAAGGAATCTTGGGTGCGGACAATAGCCATTCACAAAATGAGTGAAAATGCCATGCATTAAGGTCGATACAGTAAGGAGGTGCCAAAAATTTGTATTCTCCATGGTTGGAGTCAATGGCGGTACTACAAGGGGTCAAATTGGGTCATCAGGTGACTCGTGAACACAGGAAAGATGACGGGTGAGCACCTCCGACGAACTTGTGGTCGTCTGTATTGATAACGAATCTATAATACAATATTTTCAAAATATGAAAGATGCCGTGAACAATTATAGCTTTTAATATTACTTTTGCCTTGAATCATGAATGAATATACTACCGTTTAATTCTTTATTGTTATTTTCGTTTAAATTTTATTCAATTATGTTTAGATCATGATCCTATAAAGTTCTAGATCCGTCACTGGTTGGGAGTGATATGCTGTATCAAACCAAAGTCCCAAGTCAAGTCTTTTTCTACAGTTTCTCACCGGACATGATCTGAAAAACGCGTAGGATCGTACAAATAAAGGAAAGGTCGCTATGGTGGAGATGTGGAAGGCCTACCAACGACGACGACCCCACAAGAAATTGGAATCCTACAAAAAAATTGCTCACGCAAATGCCAAACGGTTCCTTCTTGGAAATTGGATACCAACTCTATGATTGCAAAATACTTTTCAAAAACCCGAACCACTTGTCAAAAAGTGTAAGAAGCCACTAGGGTGCCGTTTCAGTGGGAGATCCGATCACTGATGATGTAACAAGTTTCATAAGCTTTAATTAGTAATCCTAGGGCTGGAAAAAAATCCCAAAAATCTCAAACTAAATCGAAAAATTCCCAAAACCAAACCGAAAAAATCCCAAACCGAAATTCCCAAAAATTTCGGTACCCAATACCGAACCGATCCCGAAATTTCGGTACGGGAATCCGTCTCAAGTTTTTGGGATTTCGGTATTCCCAAACCGAACCGAAAAAAATATATATATATTATTTAATTTTTAAATATATATTTAGATCGACAGAGTCCATAGAAAATGAAGGCTTCAATGGTTGCACATATTTATGTATGAATGATTTAAATCGACAGAGTCTTGCAATTGTAGCATCTACATTTGAATCCAGATTGGCAGTCTTGCAATTGTAGCATCTACATTTAAATTGACATAGTCTTGCAATTGGCCCATATTGCAACGGGTTTCTTAGCAGATTGCAGCCCAAAAGTGTTAAAAGGTTCAATTTTAGCCCAAAAACATAATATTTTAGTCCAAAAGCCCAAAATCATTTCGGGATTCCCGATTTGTCCCGATATCCCGAAACTATTTCGGGATTCTCGAAAATTTGGTTTGGGATCGGTATTGAAATTGGGATTTCCGAAATTTTTGGTTTGGGAATCGGGACAAGGGTTTCGGTATGGGATCCCATACCGAACCACCCCTAAGTAATCCGAATCTTTTCAAAGTAGGGATCTCTGATTTCCAATTTTGTTTTAAATGCGGATTAGTTGTAGAGTTTGCATCACATTAGATTTTAACGATTCGAATGATTTATTTTTTAAGTTATACCTCATAAATCTTTCTTGCAAAATATTAGTTAAATCGAAAATATTTAAGATATCTAATTGAGTTCTAGGAAATTGACGGACAATAGGTTCTAAGAAACTAGTGCAATTTTATCGTGATAATTAAATAGATAAATAATTTCGAATTGAATTGAATTTTGCAAAAATGATTTATGAATCGATGCTTATAAAATAAACTTTTCGGAATGTTGAAATTTGATGTGAAATGGATCACACGACTAATCCACATTTGAAAAAAAAAAGGTAAATCCCTTCTCTTCAAGGTCTGAATTAATACTATTAGATATCTTGATGATGCAAAATACAAATTGAAAGTTAATTAAATTTCTCTTGCAGCCAAAAATAGCACATGATTTTGTTGACCGTAGACTGCGGTTCTGCTAATCTTGCGTCTTGACTATAACGTCTAGACGGGTTGACTCAGCTCCTTCCTTCGTAACTTCCTTCTTTCTCTTTCCTTCCCTCCTCAGTTCTTCAGTATAAATTACAGTCCCAGGACTCTTCACTTCACCAACACTCTCTTTTTATTTTCTTAATCTCTTGGATTCTGCTGAAATATTTGAAGCCTTTTATTCAACTTCTTGCTCTCAGATCTCTCAAGCTCCACAGATAAAATGAAGGTAATTGGGTTTTTACTTTGCTGCAAAGCTAGTTCTTTTTGCAGACAACTTTTTTAGGTGATTCTTTTTACATAAAAGATATGCATGCATGACTGATGCTGCTACTTTTGATCTTTGCTTTATTTTTTCTGACTATAATTTGGTGCGAGTCTCAACTATACTATTTTGTTTCATGACAGAAAGTAGTGTTGAAATTGGAAGTATACAACGAGAAGTCTAAGAAGAAAGCCATGAAGGCCGTGTCGGGGCTTGAAGGTACTAAATCCATGGCCATATTACTCTCTTGTTCAACATTTTACTCCGATTTCAATAGTTTTTCGAATTAGCAGACTTATGCGTAGCCAAGTTAGTTACAGCAGTTTGCTAGTCTCTCAAGTTCGAATCCACATCTATTGAGTGACGAACTTATTTAATTTTATTTGTTAATGGAATTCTCTTTTTGCAGGGCTTGATTCAATTTCCATGGATATGAAGGACAAGAAGTTGACGGTCACAGGGGACATAGATCCGGTGGAGTTGGTGGCAAGATTAAGGAAGCTTTACCATACTGAGATACTCTCAGTCGGACCGGCAAAGGAGGAGAAGAAGAAGGAGGAGCCAAAGAAGGAGGAGCCAAAGAAGGAGCAGCCGAAGAAGAAAGATCCAAAGGACGAATTGGCTGAGATTATGAGGGCCTACCAAGCTCAGTATCCTCCAATGCCTACATATTACTGCGTAAGAAGTGCAGAAGAGGATCCCAATTCTTGTGTCATTTGCTGAATGGTTGGTAAAATTTTATTGACATGCATGGTGTTTTTCAAGAGGAGAAATCAGATGTACAGTACTACAGCGGGTAAAATTCGATAGAGTAATATGTGGTTGGTGTTGGTTTTCTATGATCGAGAAGTCTCTGGTATTTTTGATGTACTATTTTGTATTTTTCTTTTGGTGTGGCCGCCAGACTTGTCGTCAGAAAAACTGAAATGTCTTTATGAGTCTTCTCAACTTCTGAAAGAAATGAATAACCGTGATTTGCCACCAGTTGTCTCCCTTTAAAAAAAATGAAAATTAGTAATATTTAAGTGAAAAGTGATTTTCTCACATTTTTTTTTCTGTTAGTGTAAAATTTTCTGCTGATCGCTTGTTGATTAGGTGCTTCTTTTTTAGTGCACTATTATCTGCTAATCACTTGTTGATTTTGAGAATGCAAAGTTGAGATTAATGATTGATACTAAATGTCAACGTTGAGGTTTACATCATGCCACAATCTTTGTAATCGTCATCCACCAAAAAGTTAACGGGCAATATTACGTGTGTGATTGCGCGATTGCGAGACGACAATACTTATTCCATATTTGATCACAAATTTGAAAACCTTGTATCATTTTTGATAGATCTCAATGACTCTATCTTTTTAAGGGTATTTTTATCAATCTAACCCCTTAACTTAATAAGAAAATTGACAAATTTTTACACAGAATTATCAAAATAATTTCCGATGGATAAACTCATGAATTAGTTTTATTGAAATGATAAAAATGAATGTGAAAAATTATATTAATCACAGTAACAATTTTTATCTAAAAAGCCTGGTTAATTAAATCAAATGCGACGAAGACTTCCCTGTGTGCAAACAAAATACAGATGCAAAATGTCTCAATCGGCACGGAAGATTAGGATTCTGTATGATGTAATGATATAAGTAGGGACAAGGATTGTATTTCCGTGCTCTCCTGTTTTGTGTGATCACAGTTAAATCATGTTAATATTTTATATTACAATTCATTTTTGTCTTATTATCTTTATAAAAAAATAATATAAAATGTTAACATAACTTAACCGTGATCACAAGACAATCTTTGTCCTATAAGTAGACGTATAACAGTAGGCTTCCTGTTGGTTAGTTAATTATTCTAGTGATCTCTCCCCACATCAACATCGAATGGAAAACGTCGCCGTTGGTGGGTAGATGGTTCCATTACGTTGTCATCAATGTCGGTAATAATTAACCATTATTTGTGCGGTACATATGTGTCGTTACTTAAAATTTCTAACGCAGCTTGGTTAGTGTTTGCAGAGTTTGTTATGTCTAATTAAGTTGTGCATTGATTTGGGGGGTGATTCAATGGTTAATAACGAATTAGAGGTTCACATTCCACGTAATATATTTTGAATTTAATTCTTGATAATCATGAATGACACAGTAATGATTAGAGGAGGCTGAAATGTCTTTGTGAGTTTTCTTAACCTCTAAATGAGTGAGCTGCTGTGGTAAAACCACCAACTGCTCTTTTTTTTTTTTGAACAAAAGATATTATCTACACTAAGGGAAGGAGATGAGCTTAGTCTCACAATTGACCAATAATAATGTGGTTCAAATTTGTTTTTTGGCGATAATCGAACCTAAGACTTCTCACTTGCAAGTAAATAAGAAAATTACTAGACTGTAATACTAAAAGAAAAAAAAAGTTGTGTATTTTGTTTTACTTCTTCTAGCTAGCACATTGAACCACATAAAAAGAGAATAGAAAACATAATAGTACTTAATTAGAGAAGATAATATGATCACTAAACACTGATTACCACATAACTGTCGTCTAGTTCATTTTAAAATGATTAATTAGAAGTTTTTTTTTTATAATTGTTGAGATGACATCAATACATATGTAATACCTCAGATCTAAGCACCTACATGTATTACAACTTGCAGTGACATCTACTCATAATTTAATAGTAGGCTTAGCCCTGGTTTGGTACTGAGTTGATTATGAAAAAAGTGGCTATCAAAGCTTTTTTTATGTTTGATAAACATTCAGCTTCAGCTTTTTTTTCACAGTTTTGGGTGAAAAAAAGTAAAAAATACAAAGCTGCAAAACCCAGCTTTGAAAAACCAGTTTTTTTTCACATATGTATTACATAAAAGTTTATTAAACACTATAATACTGTTTTTTTTTTTCAAAAGTACTTTTACAAAAAAGTTTACCAAACACTCTACTAACGGAAGCAGTTTTTTTTTTCAAAGCACATCAATGCCCAACCAGTCCTTAGTAGCTTAAGTTAAATATACCTAGGAACTCTCCAAAAAAAGTTGTAAATTTTTAAATTAACAAGCGAACAATGTTAAAAAAATTATTTTAACTATTTAGTTTAACTTTTTATTTTCAACAACATATTTGAATTCAAACTGGTTGAAGATTCGCACATGACTCTACGCAATTTCATGATGAGCCAGACTAAGCCCCAAATGAGTAAGGCAACTAGGAAAACTGAAGTCTCAGTTCCTAAGCTCATAGCTCTTGGCCCTGTTTAGCCAATGGATACTTGCTGTGTACTTTCTTCGGATGCATCGAACAATATTACTGGTGATTCTTCACTTCTTTCTTCTCTTTGTTCTCTGTTTTTCAAAAAAGGTCCCATCTTCCTTAAGCTAAGTTACTTTGACCCTTCCTCTCGCTCTCGTACAACCTTACTCTCTGATTGATCAGGTAAACTTAATCTTTCTATTCTTATTAAAAACCCAACCCAGATTAATCAAATAGGTGGGTTTTCTGTTTTAACAAATTTTGAATATTTTGTTACTAACAATTCAAACTCAACTCACTAAATTTTTAAAACCATATTTGCTCTCTTCTTTTTCTCTTTGATTCACTAGTAAACCATTTAGTTTTGATTCTATAAATTTAAAAAGCAACTTTTCACTTTAATATTATATAAAGTATTAAAAATCAACTTTTTCTCTTTGACCCTTCTCATCCCCTATTATATTGTGCGATCACGGTTAAACCACGTTAATATTTTATATTGATTTTTTTTATAGAAATAATAAGACATGTTGACATGGTGTAACCGTGATCGCATAAATAGCAAAGGATGGGAAGAGTATGATAGGAGGGCAGACAATCTGCCTCCATTATTGGTAGAGCAAGTTGATTGAAAGCACTATTCTATAAAAGATGGTGATCGGTGAGTCTGACTATTCTATAAAGAATAAAAGATGGTGACTGGTCAGGTTCTATCACATGAAGGTGAGGAGTTTTAAATTTTTTTTAATAACTTGGCTCAAAACGACGTCGTTTGGCCAAGTTATTTAAAAGAAAAATTAGTTTTCTTCTTCTCCTTCTGTTTTGCACAGCTTGCAGCAACCATGACTGCTGTTCTTCTCCACTACTGCCTAGATTTGGGTGGTCCTTGAAGATCCTCATAGTCATTTATCCAAGCTTCCGGGTGGTCCTGGAATCACCCTGGTCCCTTAATAGATCCGCCCCTCCACAGCCTTCAATTATTGAAGTTAAATGAATAGAAAGAAGAATGTAAAAACTGTGCAAACCATCACATACTCACGTTAACATATATACATATGAGAAGTTTAATTTTAGCACAATGCAATGTTAGGGAGATTAAATTTGTAGATAATACTTTTGAAAATTAAATGACATGAAAGTTGATGGTTGAATTATTACTTAAACGTTGATTAACATGCTCATTTTTTTTATGACACATCATTTTTTTAGCATTAAACTTTTTAACATGACTGTCATATTGATATATATATATATATATATATATATATATATATATATTATTACTAAGTTATTTATGTGATAGTACGTGCAAATTTATTTTCAAATAATGCATATAAATTTATGGCACATCATTCTAATTTTATAACAAGTGAATCAATAATATCGTGTAATCGACACACTCATAAATTTACGTTAAGAGAATAAGGGGAAAACAAAAACTAACTAATGGTGCTTGAAGCTATGGTAACCAAAATCTATCAATTTAATTACTTAAACCATCATTTTTTACTGTTATTACTCTCGTCTTCCTTTCTCCACATTTCAACCCAATTGCTTTGAGCTTCTTCCAATCCAAGAACTGAACCCTTCTTCTCTGCATCCCAACTTGTAGACAATGCCCCATACGCAATCCCAAGGGCCGATGTCCCAAAAGTCAACAAGGTCGTGAAGAATGGTAGCCAAAGCGGCACGTCCCACCAGTGGTTCTCCTTCACCGCGTCAAAAATTTTCAAAAACGCAAAGCCCGTGGCCAAAGGCAGCCCCACGGCGGCGATAATTCTCACTAGCATTCTCTCGAAAACGACCTGCGGAACTTCCTCGTCGCCATCGTTGTTATCATTTTTGTCGGAGTTTTTGCTTGTCGGCGTTTCTTTTGTGGTGGCTGGTTGCACACTGCCAAAGCCTTTTGCATTTGCATGTGTTTTGTACGTACTTCTTTTAGGGTGGTGTTTGGACCCGATTTTTGCGTTAAATTTTTTTGGCAAGGCAGACAAGTAGGATCATGCTGATCGAGCAGATTTGACTACTGCGAAAACATTATATGCTGCAAGCATTTTGGCGTGCAGTGTGCAGTCGGCGTCAGGCCAATGCATGTGATTATGCATAAGAATTCGGCCAAGAACCATTAGGCCGAAGTCGAAGGTAGAAAAGTCGAGGAAAGTGGGTTGAAAATTAAGATCAATAAATACCTTTAACCCTCAAGTTATGGTTCGGTCGCCATTTGGTTTACCTTTAATCGACCTTTCGATGTAAGAGTAGGTGACTTTTCTCATCTGGCCGAGAAAAGTGGATTGAAACCACTTTCCCTGACAAGATTCCACCCTCCCTTTATTTTACAATAGTTGAATCGTGGGCAGTGGTTTGGTGAAGCAGAAAAGATTTGATGTGACTCAAACATGGTACTATCGTGACCCATATATATATATGTATAAAGGCATGCCGACGTCATAGACTTTCCTCGGCCACTTTACAAAACTGCATATATAAGCCTTGGCCAAAACTATATATATATATATATATATATATATATATATATATATATATATATATAAAGCTTGGACGTGAAGTTTTGAGTTTTTTGAGGAACTAAGCGGTCGAGGGATTAGATGGTAAACATGTGGATGTGACTACGAAAAAGTGCCAGTCAACAGAGTATTATCTCAGCGCCATGATGTTCACTGTTGCTGTATTCTTTCTGCTTGCCTTCGTTCTGAGCTTCTCGACCTCGGCTTAGTGTATATATATCTAGGCAGGACGAGTTGCCAAGAAAAATTCTTCTCGACCCTCTGGTAAAATTGCCGAGCCTGGTATGGAGTTGTAGTAGTCGAAGGAGGCCGCAACGTTGGCAGAACATACATGTTATTATCGAGGAACAAAGTTTTTTTCGGTGATACGAACAATTAATTTCCTTAACCTTTCGGCTTACGAGCCGAAGTTCAAGGAAACTGGGGGGGGGGGGCAATGTTTGGACCCGATTTTATACCATCGGCCCAAGCGATCGAGGCCGTTGGGTAAGCATGGTTCTTAATCGTCGGATAAAAAGTTAAGATAATTTGCTATTGTTAAGAGATAATATTATGGTTCTTAATCATAATAATTATCTTTTAATAAATTATCTTAATTTTCTTATACAAGATAAATTATACAAATTCTTGGACTCTTCACATGGCCTAACATGGATCTGCAAGCCGAAGATAATGGTGAATAGGAAATCCAATAAGGTTAGGTGATGGATGTCAGCTTGGTATCTAGTTGGCTGCATGGGGTCTATGGTTGAATGGACTCGCGTACAAAGCCATGTGGAACAATGGAAAAGATTTTACATGTGGTGGTGATAAGGTGGCAATACAATTGATCAGAATTGTTAGGATACGTGGTCTCCATGTATGCATGGGTAACTTGCAAATGGGATGAATTTGAATTGCAATTGGATAGGCATCTGCAATGTGTGGGGGATACGGATTCTTGAGAGAAGTAAGGTGATTATTTTGGGAAGTGAACTATCTTTCCAATTAATTATCTTTCCAATTAATATGTTAAGATAATGATACAAATTGGAGCACGGCATTGACACTTTGACTAAGGCGAAGTGATATTATCAAAGGGTTTTTATCACAATATCCGGATGTAGAAGAGTTAGAGTGGAACTGGGAAAATCTATTTCGGCGACTGAGCATTAAGAACTTTATAAATACAAGGCTTCGAACGCTGAGAAAAGACCTCCAATGCAACACACAAAACTGTCATGCGCAAACCCTCTCAACAACTTTGAGATTTTTATTTTCTTTTTTCGCTGACACATCTTCCGTTGGCATCAACAGCACTGTGGAAGCAACCGGTGATATCTTAAGTCGGCATAGATAGCTCTGTCACCGTAGAATCAATCGGTCTCACAGTATCTTCCGTTGGCATCAACAGCACTGCGGCGAGAACGGTTGATTACCTATCCAAGTCTCGGTCGAGAAGGGTTTCTGAATCCTTATTGGTCGAGGTCATCTCATCAGCCTTCTCGGCAAAGTGAGGTGTTACAAGTTATTACATTCGGCACATTGAAAGCCGAATTTGATATTGAACTTCGTAAGAATAGTAACCTTGTCTTCAGGTTCGAGAGCTCAAGAGGCCGAGACGTGTTCCTTTCTCGGCCGCAATCGCAAGACGTAGAAGTCAGCCGCGCACCCAACGCAACATCAACAAATTTACTCCTCGGCCGAGCTCGGCCGACGAGTTGGCACGCCCCGCAATCACCGAAGAACGTAGTTAGCTTATAGATTACTCGGTCTGCACGCCACGTAGGCTTTGTAGTTTCTAGGGTCAACATGTGGCTTTGGTTCTGCAAGGTTTTGGGGTGGAAGGTTAGGGTTTTGGGCTTCCATGGCGACGAGCTTGAAGGAGAGAGAGATGGTTGGGAGGAAAAAATCAGAGTTTTCATGGCTTGGGCTAGGTTACTTCTTTATAACGTTAAAGTTAAGTTGTATGGTCTTATTGCTATAAACCTTATCACAAATGAATGGTGGTGACATGGTCTCTGGAGATATTTTGTGATTTATTTTGAGATTTTTAATTAGTCGTACATCTTTTTTACGTCCTAAACATCTTTATTAATTTTAGTCCTTTGTTCTTGATCAATTTATTCAATCCAACGGTCAAAAATTAAAAAGTGTGTGAAAAACAAAAATGAGTGTGCACTACCTTTTTAATTTTCTGATCACCAAATTAAGCTAGGATAATTTGTTCTATACTAAACAAGCAAAACTCATAATAAAGTGAGAAAGGAACCAAATTAGTAAATCACAACTTGACCTACTTGTGCTCTTGCAAACGACGTACACTAACGGTCGTTTTATAACTATTTCGTTTTTAGATTTTAGTTTTACTTTTTGTGCTTGATATAGGTGACGACAAAAATTTATAAGAAAAATGATGGATGAGGAATCGTGATGTGAGGGAGGGGAAGAATGAATGAAAACAAAATCTAAAAAATGAAAAACAACTTAAAATGTCAATCCATAATACTTCTACAACTCTGCTTCTGATATGAAGAAACTCAACCTACTTAATTATGATGTCAATCCATAATACTTCCTAGTTTAACTTCATATCGTGTAGTACTACTGGAGAGAAATGTCTACCTTGAGATGTTTTGTGATTTATATAGTACTAATGTTGTTTCTGTTTTTAAATTTTAGGTTCGGTTTTCACTCTCTCAATTCTAAGACCAAGTTGATTCGAAAATTATTCGTCAAAACAACCAAGTAAGAAATATATGATATCGGATTGAGAAATGAAGAGGCGAACATAATCCATGTGGGACAGCCAAAGCGTGCATACGAGCGTATAAGCAAAACTCACAGTGAGTCAAAGCGATTGTGTCCCAAAGGTCCTGATCCACGGCATCACTAGCTCATCAATCAACCAAAGAGGAGAGAAACTTCCTTACCAAAGTGTCATTTTCCGTTCTTCTTAATTATTTTTCGCCTCATGAGACCAGAATATATAAAAGTATTTTCTTTTGAACTCCACAATATATAGAAGTGGTTGGTACTTAAAAATTGTGTATTCGATAAAATGGTATGAACAATATTACATATTAAGATCAATTTCTGGTTGATAAGATCCAATTTTGAAGTTGGACCCCTACTCAATCTGTAGAGAAAGTGGTCCCTATAAACCAGATGAGTTGGGATTATAGGTAGTGATAATCAAAACCCTTTTTTTATCTTCCACACGGAGAAGATATTTCATATATAAAGTAATATTTGGTATAAATTTAGTATATTATATCTAATTATATTTCTTTATACAGCGTATTTTGCTATATAGTTCCAATCTATCTTTTTAGTTCACATCATTATCTTTTTAATTTGAGTAATTTTATTCTTACCCCAATTTTATACCACATTTATTTACCATCTTAGGTAGCAAATGAGTTGGACATACCACATCATTTAATTTCAATTTTCTTATTAATTAAAACACTTAAATAAAGAAAATTGCAGACTTCAAGTCTCCTCCCATTGGCATTAATAACTTAATTGGGTATGAACCCTAATCTGGTAAACAAATTTGATTTTGACTCCTAATTCTCATGAAAGCTAATATACGTTATTCAATGAAATAATAAGATGAAATCCTACTTTTAAACCACAATTTTTTTTTTTGAAAAGAAGACAAAAAAAAAAATCACAAGATGAAGCGGAATGAGGACTGGGCTACGGGGCATGAGTCTGAAGATAGAAATCAATATATGGTGATTGTAGTATACGAGTGAATTCTATAAAACTTGATCATAATCATGGAAATCAACATAAATTAATATAAAAAAACTGGCGTAAAAAAGAAAGGGAAAGGAAGAAGAAGAATTGAAAGGGGAAGGAAGAAGGGGACTCCTCGTATACTATAATCATTATTTAATTAATCATCTTTTTATTAGTTATTGATTAATTAAATAGTTTTTAATGGAAATTAAATGTTAATTAATTTAAATAATGTGGTTATTTAGATGTCACCTAAGATAATATACAATTATGGTACAAAAACATGATAAGAATAGCATTTGTAGACCTATCTTGGAGTTTATCCAAACTAAACGGAACATAGCTAAGATACCAAACCCCTTTTTTGTAGTAAAACGACGTTGTCTCATCGTCAATGTTAGGTAGGTCAGATTGAATCTTTCTTCCATGCGGAGTAATTTGGGCGCTTCTGCAACCAAGCGGCAGCCGTGACACCATTTTTTTCCGATCAATATTAGCTAATTTACCTTGTGTTTGGGCATCCAAATCATGAAAATTTCGGAAAGCTGCCCAGCCTTCATTCAAGCATTTTGTCGAACAATTTCCGTGCAGGCCAAGACGGGCGGCCCCTCCTTGTCCTGCTGTAGCTCTGCTTGTGGCCCCATCCTTCAAATAAATTGAAGATTACAATGGAGGCTGATTATCTGCCCTCTCACTTTCCGTGCCCTCTTATTTATGTAGTAATGGTTATATTACGTCAACATTTTATATTACTATTTTTTTATTTTATTATCTCTATAAAAAATAATATAAAATGTTCATATGACTGAACCTTGATCACACAAAACAAAAGGACACGAGAGGGCACAGGAAGTGGGTGGGCAGACAACCTGCTTCCGATTACAATTCCTCGAACGTAACAAAAAATATACAACCTGAACAGGGCTAACATTTGATCGAAATCAGATTAGGTAATTTAGGTATGTTTTGCCTTCATACATATCTTGAAGTATATTCCGAAGTTTATTTTTGGGCCATCAACAAATTAAAAAGATAATATTCTTGGCATTTTTATGTTTCAAAGTTCAAACTGAGAGTGATTAATAATTAGGTAGTGTTATTCACACGTTTTTTTAATCTTCTATACACTCTTTGTTAATTTTAGTTAATTAAATAATCATCTTCAATTAATTCAATTAGAGACAAAAATTGAGTAGAACGTTGAATAGTAAAAAAAGGAAAGGGGTGTGCGTAGCCACACCCTTTCCCATTTCGGACGCAACTGAAGACATGATCAAATATGTTTGGTAAGATCTGTCGTCATTAGTGTCCAAAACAAGTGTATTAACTTAAGTCATTAACAATAAACTAAGTACAGAAAGCAAACTGCGTTGAATTAATTTTTATTTTAAGTATTAAGCAACTGTTGCGTCAGTAAGTGTGCTCGTTGTTTCTTATATTTTATCAAATACGTACTATTTTATTTGGTTTAATTAATTAAAACGAAGATGGTCTTCAAGCATGCAGAAGGAAGCATAAACAAATGCAAACAACTCAACTTGATTAACTGTGAATGTATAAAATATATCAGCGTGAATATATAAATATATATCATCAACTACTTTTTCTACTGTTGGATGTTGCAAATAGCATGCACGCCATAATATATAATTACAGATTAAGAATAAACCTAAAGAAAATTTTGTTACGTTCCATATCTAATTTACTTTAATTAAAATTACCACCTGTAAACTTTATGGCCACTGGGATTTTGCAGCTTCTCATCATCCGATTTTCTTGAGGCCTGCCAAGATCAAAATTTTCATATAAACAAGGTGAACGTATTTATGTGACACAATTATTGTTATGTTACATCACGTTTGATGTCTAAAATTGGATTGGATATATTAACTCACTCGATGCGAGGATGGACAGCTGCGAACCGGGCCTGCGGATGCATGCAGGGCAGGTCTTATAAAAGATTGTTGATTGTATGGATAAATCGGAGACCCGGTTGCAGGAGTGCTGTACGTAGACAGTGGAGACGGCTCTGGAGTTCTCCAATAAATCGGAGACGCAGATTTTCTTGGAGATTTTGGGGCTGATGATCTTCTTGAATATGGCAGGAGGGGAGACCCGGCTGCAGGAGTGCTGTATGAAGACAGTGGAGACTGCTGTGGAGTTCTCCAATAAATTAGAGGCGCAGGTTTTCTTGGAGATTTTGAGGGTGATGATCTTCTTGAAAATGGTAGGAGGTTGATTTTGATTCTGTGGATTAAACAAAAAACAAAGCAAATAGTCAGATCAAATATAATTAATGCTAATTAAAAGTATTAACAATCATTTGGGCTTTAGGGTTTCGCTCTAATTGTCGTAACAGACATGTGGAGTTTACGTAGAAAACAAGAAAATTGTCACCACTCACTTCTTGTGAACATCGACATATTCATCTGTTTCATCCAGTATATCTTCCTTGAAGACAGAATAAATAGACTAGTTAGTTCAACTTTCAAACGTCTATCGACATAAAAAAACAGTTCATCCGTTTATATATTAACTTGGGTACCTGGAGCAGTTCCTCCATAACATCCTCCATTGTTATGATACCGATAACCTCCTCGTCCATGCAACTTTGAACAGATTCTATAATTTCAGATGATACATTTTGCGTCCGCAATCCTTGCCTATATCGCGTATTTTGTGTCTCCAACTCTTGTGCTTCCTCCACAACGTGCTTTGATGCCGGAATACAGTATGCAGTTTCACTTGAACATAGGGGTGATGACATGTCCTCGGAAGTGCTCAGACGCTCTTGCTCATGTGGAAAAATTAATCCTGTAGAATCGCACTCAACAACCAAGAATTCTACTAGTCTAAAAACATTTTTTTTTCCCCAAAAACTTGATTTTCAGTATAATGTAACATTACCTCCACTCCCTGCTAGTTTTGAATTTGATTTTGAATTAATATCCTTGTTACTCTTCACCACAGCAACCATATGACTATGACCTTTCTTGAACTGATGCAGTATATCGTATAAAGGCCAATTATCATAGACCCTGTTACAGATTATGTACAGAATTACGTTAACAAACACTAGTTTTGGTTTTGCCTAAAACCTGTGTTAGCATTGTAACCGAAAAAAAAGAACCTTGTGTAAGCATGAAGCCAATTGCCAGATTTGATAAGGGAACACTCATACACTACCTTGGAATCTTTCTGATAGTCAAGTATTTAA